GGAACATCAATTCTGCTTTCAAGGCTAGGTTCCTTGCTTCCTGCACACTAAGAACCATCTGTACACCAATTTTATCTCTGATGGACGGTCTCAAACTGCTTAGATAACAGGCTGCCTGCTGGTTATCACTTTCAGACAATTGATTTCTTTAAGCTAATCTCAAAAATTCAGATGTATATTCATTAACACTATGGGAACCCTGCGCACACCATTGGTAAGATTTAAACATGTACTGTTCGTAATCTGGGGGTAAAATCTACCTCCTATAAGCTGTTTCACCCCTTCCTTCTCTGATCCGGGTTTCTCTCAAGCGTTCCCACCAAACAAATGCGCCTCCCTTTAATCGGAAAGCTACCAATTTTACCCTTCATTCCTTTGGTATCTCCATGTACTCAAAGAAACGATCGACTTTTGTGATCCAATCTAGAAGTCCCTCTATGCCAAGATCTCCACTAAAAGTAGGAATATCTACATTGAGTTTAAATTCATCATTATTCCTACGGGGAATGAAATTACCTTAGTTGTGCCAATTTTTGCCGTTTCTGTTGTTGCCGGGAAGAACTGGAGCGCCATCGAATTCTAACTCATCATCACTGTCGTCGTCAAGAACTGGACGTCGGAACGCAGCGTTGACGGGTTGCCTGTCGTGGTCGTTTCCTTCAATGGGATGTGGATTTTCTCGGTTCCGTGGAACAACCTCCCGTAACAAGGTTCGCAGTTGTTCATCCATCTCTGCCAAGTGCTGTTCGATGTTACGTGTGGCCGTGTGTTGTTCTTCGATTGCTCTCCAAATAGTTGGGAACCCCTGATCTCCGTCACGGGGTGGGTTGCGACTGCTACCGTCTGGGTTGGCCATCTGACTAGGCGAATTCCTTGCTCTGATACCACCTGACGCAGCATGGAAGCAATAAACTAGGCTGGCTATGCAAGCACCGCGCGAACCAAGTTTCTAGAGAAACAAGAAAGAGAGAAAATCTTTAGAGGAGAGAGAAAAGGTGACGAAAATTGAAGAGTAAATCTGAAGTGTCTATTAACTTGGAAAAAACAATATTTATATTACATCTGGAAATTATAGAATAAATAGGAAAGAACAACTAAGATGGATATCAAAACATCTAATCTGGATAGGATCGTATTCTTCTTGATCTTGGTCTTGATAGGATCGAACTCTTTGGCTGGATCTCCATCGTCTGATCTTCTTGGATGAATCTTGGAAGTCTTGGATTATCTTGATCTCTGGAATTCTTGATTATCTTGAATTCTTGAATTCTTGATGGATCTTGAATTCTTGAATTCTTGATGGATCTTGAATTTTTGAATTCTTGAATTCTTGATGGATCTTGAATTCTTGAATTCTTGGTTATCTTGAATTATCTCTAGCCCTTATCCTTATCCTATGAGCTGCCGCCCCTAAGGTGACGTGGACCTTGTGATGGGCCTCTATCACTACCTTTTTGCTTCTTCATGCTGTGAAGGACCTCCTGAGTGATTATTGTGTTGTCAGTTATATTTCATCCTGGAGTGAAGGAACTTTGGAATGGGGAAATCAATTTGGGGAGGATCAATTTCAGATGATTACAAATGACCTTTGCTACAATCTTGTAGAGAACATTGCTTAAGCCAATGGGTCTAAAATCTTTTGCACTTTCAACTGTATCAGTCTTTGGGATCAAGCAAATATAAGTGGACTTCCCTTGTTTGATGTCCTCTGGATTTCTGAAAATATGTTGTACCCAATCTCTGATGTCATTGCTCACAACTAACCATTGATGTTGTAAGATGCCTGCATGCATTTCATCAGGCCTTGGCGATTTCACTACAATTCTCTTGAACACTACAATTTTCTTGAACATATGAATTTGGCTATGATGCTAGCAAAAAAGCATTAACATGTTTTCTGAAAGCTAAAACTCCATGTACATATACCATGGTTTTGAAAACCGGATCAGACCAGGTGGATTGACCCAGAACCAATCATGAGTCTAGGTCTAGTTTTGGACCCCAAAACCGTCTGACCTGGGTTTGGACCATACAATTGGATCGTTTGACTTGAGAATTGGTGGCCAAATTGGTCTTGTTTCTAGTCTGGCTTTGAAAACCATATAGTATACAACCTGGTTGGATGCCCATTCTTTTAGAGCGTATGTAGAGTTTTTGCTTTAAGGGGATCCTGTCTCCAGTATCAACAAATCCAATCTAATATCTAGATTTGTGGTAGAGTTAGGGATTTTCTTTTTCTTTTCTTTTTTTTTTCCAGGGAGGAGGTTATATAACATTTTTTTTTGTCTTATGGTAATGAAAAAATCATGATAAGCTAAACTATTAAAAAATAATCTCACAAATAATTTTCTAATATCTTGATTCATTATTTATTTAGAGTATAAAAAAGACAAGAAGTTTGACATGAATATATACATAAGAAAGAAATCAAAATAATTAAACATCTTTTAATAAATGATTTGGTGAAGATGGGAAAAGAAAAGGCCTAAGGGAGAGAAAGATAGTTAGACACTAGTATGGTGTTGGGCAATGATAAGAGGCTAAAACCAGAAATTAGTGCCTTCCGCAAGTAGTGATGATAAGCTTTGAATCACCTTCAATAACAATATACCATGAAAATTGAGGGCAACATTATGAGCTTCCTAAGCAACCCAAGCTTCAGCAAGATTAATGGACACAAAACTAATAGAATATGCTCTCACATCCAAGACCCTGCCAATATGGTTCCTAGCTATGCAAGCAATTGAACAAAAGCCATTATGTCCACATGAGACATCAAAATCAATCTTTATAGCAATGTTCAAAGGACCGAATTGGGCATTGACTCGGAAAAGAAAGAGGTTTATAGGTCAGAGGCTCAATTGGGGTCGAACCATAATGATGTAATATTAATATATATTGATACATATATATTCAAAATATATAATTATATTCTGTTATAATATATTTTTATTTTGTTTTATATTATAGTGTAATGTAATATAATATATAATATATAATATATTATATATATATATATATTATAATATGCACAATTATATGATATAATTATGTATATAATAATATTAATTATATTCATAGATTCAAAATATACAGTTATATTCTTCTATAACATATATTTTTATTATGGTTTCAATTTTTTATATTACAAAATTAATATTTGAAGCAAAAAAACATGTTAGCAAAAATAGTGGGGCAAGACTCATTTGGAACCTTGGGAACACATAGATCTTGAAAAATTATCTAAAATAAATAAAAAAAAAGATCACCCAATCAGGTCACTGGTTTTCCGGTTCAACCATCCAGGTCACCAGTTTTGGTTGCTTTTTTGTCCAATGCAGATTTGGGGGTATGGCTAAACCATCTAGGGGCCGATCACGATTCAATTGGTCCAACTGGCTGGTTTCCTTCGATTTTCTAAACACTGCTTTATAGTACCCTCATGGGGACATTTCCATAGGATAGTCTGCCATGCCTTCTCATTGCTATATTTTGAATCGGCCTCCCTACCATGCAAGAATACATATCCATAAAAAATTTTGAGCTTTTTCAAGTAGGATAGGAGGGGGCATCAAACAATTATTGAAAATTTTTTCATTTCTATTTTTTCAATTGTACCACGGAATAACCACCATTTTTTCCTTGATAAGCATATCACCACTTGCTTTAATCCCAATAGAAATTCTACTCCACCAGTCACGGATTGAGATATCAACTTCATTTATTTTTTATTTTTTATTTTTATTTTTGCCGCAAGATACCCTTTTCATTTTGGCCTCCCCTTGTTAGGACCAATAGTTCTCCAAACCTGATTAACAGGTCGTCTCCCATACTTTATATATTATGGTGTTAAAATGTGTATTCGCATACTCTTGCTAAGAGTAGATTTAGGCTGGACTATAAATACTCACAGACATGAGTATTTTATCCATAGACAATAACGTGGATCAAAGGTGGTGGTCTCTATATACCAATTTAACTAGGAATTGATATATATATATATATATATATATATATATATATATGGTATAATATCTTTTATATATTGTGGTATGATATTTTATTAAATGTATATAGTAAGTAAGTATTAACTGCATGATATACGGTATTTAGATTTAACTTTTATCACTGCAACGAAACTAAGACAAATATATATGATATAATATTTTTTAATAAGGTATAATATCTTATATATATGGTTGTATGTATGTATACAGCATGATATATTAATATATAAACAATAAGTTTTTATATATTTTTCTGTAATTTTGATTATAAAATGAAATTATAATTCTAACTTTAAAAATATAACTTTCATCCCTAGCTTAATCCTTCACGTACAGTCGGGAATTGCTCAATCCATTCATTCCAATTTTGCATATATATATATATATGTTTTTTTTTCCTTGGAACAAAAAAGGGAAAATGGAAAATTAAAAAATTAACGTCGAGGCAATATTATCCTGTTTCAGTATTTTAATTTTTAAACTTTTATTTAGTAATTGCTTGACCTAAATGGGGACGTCAGATTTTTCCGTCTCCACCTATAGAATTAATGGGACACCTGGTCCTGGGTATTGGTATTTACTACTACTCAATCTCGACTTCTACTTTTGGCCTCACTGAGCTATTTTAGTGTACTGATCATATTAGAAAATGAAAGAGAAATTATTCCATCAGCTGCCAATCAGTCTCAAGGTCGTCTTGAGACGATGATCAGACCACTCAACCAAAAAACCAGATCAGCTGTTGTTTTGGATTTAAAACAAACGGTTGAGACGGTGATCGCAGCTGATGCAAACTCGGGTGAGAGGAGTGAGTGCATGCAGAGTGCCCGATCGAGTAAGAAGAATTGATTAATTAATTAAGTGCCGGTTTTTCCGTCAATAACAAGATTGAGTTAGGATTGGGGCCTTTTGAGAATTAATAAATAGGGCCATGAAGGAAGAAACGAGGCACAGAAGAAGAGATTTGAGATTTCAGTCTTGGCATCGGAAAAGATGAGGCGTTCCATTTCTTTGTTCTCCTTGGCCATCTCTCTGCTCATTCTTTCTCAAGTTGCAGTTGGGGAAGATGTTGTAGCGGAAACCTGTAAGAAGGTAGCGGCCAAAGAGCCGAGCATGAGCTACGACTTCTGCGTGGCATCCCTCGAAGCAGACCCCAAGAGCCGAACGGCGGACCTGCCGGGACTCGGCGTCATCTCCATGCAGTTGATGATATCCAATGCGACCAACGTGAATGAATACATAAAGCAGCTCTTGAGCGATGGGAAACTGGAGAATATGACTCGGCAGGCCTTAGAGGATTGCTCGAGTCTGTACTCGGATTCCATCTCTTCTATGAAGGATGCCATCAATGACTTCAAGTCGAAGGATTACAACGGAGCCAATATAAAGATCAGTGCGGCCATGGAAGCACCCACGACGTGTGGAGAAGGTCTTTCGCAGGGGAAAGCCAACGAGTCTGGTTTGACGGAGCGGAACGATGCTTTCTACAAACTGGCTGGAATTGCTCTTGTAATAACCACCCTGTTTAATTGATCAATGAACTTCATTTTAAAATTTTAATGGTTAATGGTTGTTGGTAATGGCAAAAAGTGCTTATTTCAAATAGAATAGCATTTTTTTTTAAAATCTAATCCTACGCCTGAATCCGCATAGGGGCTGTCCTTTTTTTTTCTTTTCTTTTAGTGATAGTAGGAATTGAACCCTCATCCCTGTTGAAACAAACCAGCTAATTAAGGTACCAGCTGAGTTGATAAATGGGGTAGTTTAGGTATTTTGAAAATTAATCGCCAGCTAAGATGGGCCAAAAATGTAATATATAATTGCTATGGGGCGTTCTTTTCTTGAATTTTGAGAAAGGGAGATCTGATCCATGGGATTTTAGTTTCTATTGATCCAGAATCCCATGCTCTATTGAATGAAGGGGTTTTTTGCCCTTCAACGAGCATTTAATTGATTGTGTAATGGTACTTTCGTTTTTTAATGGATGCAATAGAATTGAGGTTGTCTGGTTGGCGATTTACTAACCTCCTTCCAGACCACTTCTGGTAAGCACACGGTTAAAGTATTAACCCCTGTCCCTTAAACTCCTGGCTGTCAATGGATTCTAATTAAAATCTTATACTCAACTTGACAATTCAATCGGATTAAAATCTGAGTCAGATTTATAATATAGCATAATAGTGCATTTATACAGATATTGCATACAATTATACAAAGAGTATAACTAATAAATTTAAGTATTATTTAATTAGTACTATTGACATTTCTACTTGCAATCTTTTAAGTTGGGCAATAAAAATTTTATTAGAATATATATTTTTTCTACTACAAATGCTTTGAGTTATCAATACACTATATATTTAGTAACATCAAATTTGGCATTTCTATTATAAATGCCAAGACGTAATCCATGCCTATGTTTTTTTAGTGGAAGCGGTTATCTGGTGTGATGTGTCTAGACAATTTTTCAGAAATTTATTTTGACCAATGCAAAGCATTGCAAGTAGAAGTGGCTAGGGGTGCACACGGTTCGGTTAACCGAACCATAGGGATTTTTTTGAAACTAAACTGGAACTACCGGTTTTTCCATGTCCCCAAACCAAAACTGAATCGGTTAACCGGTTGATCAATTTCGATTTTTGACCAGTCCGATTCTTCGGTTTTTTATATTTATAACATATAGAATAAATATATATAAAATATTGTATTATAAATAATAAATAACATATAATATATTACAAATATGTATATTATATTATAAATGCTATAAACATAATATATTGTATATTTTTAAATAGATAAATATAAATAAATAATTATAAATATAATATATGTATATATAATACATTTATATTTATATATAAATACAGACATACAGACATACACACATACACACATACAGACATACACACATACA